AACGATAAAAAAGAGATAACGAAGCAACTGCCCAGCTGTGGGAAAGTGACTGCAAGGTAGAAGTCAAAGACGATTCGTCAATCAGCCCGACGGTTGAGGAGAGAAAGAGCGGAATACGAAGCTCCACCCCATACGTGACTGCAGTATTCAAGCATCGGGTGGATTTGAGCTTTGTATAAAAGGAGGTTCTTGGGTTTAAAGAAACGCTTTTCGCGGAATAGAAAACTAACTGCGCGCAGCGCGAGAGGCAAGCGTAAAAATAAAAGGGGGACCAACAGAGAGAAGAACTTATGGCTAAACCCAGAAGGGGCAGAGAATCGAAGAGTAATTGAGGAGAATAGGGGACACGTTTAAGAGACTGAAAGGAGAGAAGTTTTGGAAGCATTGAACACACATGGTTGGTAGAACCCCATGCGGAAATTAGTCCGAGATCGGAGGCAAGAGAAGCACTAATGACATCACCATCGTGATCGATGTTGGTATTAGCTTGACGGATTGTGGGGTACGAAAGAGGACAATGGAGAGTGGCATCATCGGCAAAGCAGTGGATGGGATTGGGTGTTTGGGATAAAAGATCGTTGATAAATAAAACGAAGAGGGTGGGCGAAAGTGTGAAACCTTGGGGAACACCGGCTTTTACAGCAAATGACTGAAATAGGACCCCATTTACTCGGACGGAGATGGTTCGTTTGCCGAGGAAACAACGAAGCCACGATACCAGAGACGGGTGGAATCCGAACGTGGGTAATTTCGACAACAAACCTTCATGCCAAACGCGGTCGAAGGCCTTTGAAATGTCGAGCGAGACCATGTGAGTTTCTCCGTGGTTATCGAGGGCAGCCAACCAGGAATGTGAAATGAGCTCCAGTTCAGTTCAGTTCAGTTCTTACAACCATTAACCATGCACTTTCGTGCGCCGGTTTTGGTTGCCCATTTGGTTAAAACAGCAGAATAATGATGACAGCAGATTCAAGCGGAAGATAGCGCATTTACTTAGACTGAAGTTACAAGAATAATAATTAGATGCATGAGCGTCATTGTTTGCGACACCCAGCCATGTCGCTCGGTGACTATAATCTCGGGGTCCCCAGCCTGGGAGCCTAACGGGAACAATGTGAGCTAGTCTCCTGGTCAGGACTTTCATACCCTCATACCAGGGCTTAGTTTTTTTTATTACACACCTAGGTGTGATGAACAGCAGACGGGGTAAACCCCATAGTCACGAGGACCTACTGTTCAGTGGTTGAAATCGGCAACCTAAGCCCCGGAACTTGGAGTGGCGAACCACATAAGGCCCCTCTACGTTAGGCGTGGTANGGTGATAGCGACTAAACCACTGCGCCACCACCACCCTGACCGCCATTGATTTTTTCCAACAGCTACCTGCCTTGACGAGCATCGCTCACCGTGGCAAATTATCTGGAGCCATGTGTAGCACACGTCCCAACCAGCGTTCTCTCTGGAGGTCGACTACCTGCTCCAGTGGACAACCGCGATTACCTAAAACTCTACGCCTAACCTCAGCATTGTTCATCCCGTTCTCCTACCAGACTCGTGCAATGCTTCGTAGACACATTGGTAGCACACACCAATTCTATGTAATTGCAATATATATATATATATATATTTATATCATAGAAGACGAAAACGGTCTGATCAGCTGCTCGGTGGCGGAGTGGGTAGCATGCTTGCGTTCTACCCATGAGGTCTCGGGGTCGACCCCCAGTTGGGTCGATGGATTCGCACTGCTGATGAGACCCAACCAGGTCGAAACAGCTGTCCAGTGCTTCCTAGCTTTTCAGTTCACGCTTCATTTAATATATACACGACGAATTCCCATCTCAAGGTGAAATCAATCAGAAATAATTAAAGGCGACAGTTTGGTCCAGGAAACGATTCAAGAGTCAAAGGTGTCAGCTCAAAACTAGCTAATTGCCATTGCTCCCGAGTTAAGTATTTAGAAGGGTACCTTCTAAGGCAAATCATATTTTGTTTTATATTTTCACAAACGTCTGAATCCAGACACTGCCAAACAAATCATGGTACAAGTCTCCATGACAAAGAAAGACGTTCCATGATTTGAATGTGGGCGGAATACTGCCAGGTTGCCCAGGCCGAGGCAGGTGAATTTTCTTGAGGAATCCACAGCCTGGGCCTTTGGCTAGCCAAAGCCTGACT